TTAACCAGCAGCAAGAAAGCTATCCCCCCTTCCCTCAAGCCAAAAGAGACCAAAGGGGGAAACAAAAATAAATTAGGCCAGAAAGGATTCTCTGAATGTCTATGATTTGCTAGGTGTAATCAAAAATAGAAGCTTCTTAAAATTACACAAAGCAGGGCAGTTGAACAGCCAGTACATACCTGTATTGGTAGCAATCATTGCTATCCTACCGGGAAGCTCTTGACTACCTAGAAGCCTAGGAAAGACACACACCACCTACCCACATATGGAACCCTGAATTATCCATGAGGTCACCTGCTCTACCCAAGTAGTCAGGACTGGCAGAATAAAATTCCATAATGCTCCAGAAGGAACTTCTGAACTAGTTATACTGCAGGCTTCTCCATTAACCAAATTCTGTCTGCGTAGACCCCTCTCATCCTTTTTGCTAACCCTTTGTCCTCTCAAGGGTGGAGAACCTGCAGCCTTGGGGCCACATGTGGCCTTCTGGATCCTTGAGTGTGGCCTTTTGACTGAATCCAAATTTTACAAAACAAATACTTTATTAAAATCCTTTATTAAAAGATTTGTTCTGTGATGTTTGGATTCAGTAAAGACGCTGCACTTGGGGATCTGGAGGGCCACACCTGGACTTGAGGCTGCAGGTTCCCTATCAGAGTGTGACCTTATTTGGAAATGGGGTCATTGCAAATGTAATTATTAATAGTTAAGATGAAGTCATACTGGAGTAGGATGGGCCTTTAATCCAGTATATTGATGTCTGTATAAGAAGAGAAGACACAGAGACAAACACAAGAAGGCATAAGATGGTCTTGTGATGAGGGAGGCAGAGATTATAGTGATACATCGACAAGCCAAGGAAAAGCAAGGACTTCCAGCAAACACCAGAAGCTACAAGAGGCAAGGAAGGATTTTCCCCTCAGGTTTCAGAAGCAGCATGGCCCTGCCAACACCTTGATTTTGTATTTCTAGCCTCCAGAACTGTGAGATGATAAATTTCAATTTTTTTTTGAAGTGACAAGGTCTCGCTATATTGTCCACACTATTCACAGGTGCTATCACAGTGCAGTGCAGCCTCGAACTTCTGGCCTCACATGATCCTCTCACCTCAACCTCCCAAGTAGTTGGGACTACAAGCACATGCCACCATGTCCAGTTAATAAATTTCTATTGTTTTAAGCCATCCAGTTTGTGGTACTTTGCTATGGCAGCCCTAGGAAACTGAAACACCCCTTCTCAAGGACACTGCTTCATTCTCTGCCACCATGTCACACATGTTCAGCTATTCCTCCTGGCAGAAATTCCCGTTTTCTTGTTTAAAAAACTGCTCAATATACTTGAATTTTTCCTAAAGAACTCCTACCATCTCCCATAGTAGAAACCTTCATTAAAGGAGACTGAGAGGCCTCTCATGACCACAGATCCATCAAAAGGATGCTCTACCACACTCTTAGCTTCCCAGACACCTTGATCAGCCCCCTTTGCTTCACTTACGTGATCTACCTCATCAACCACCCTTCCCTCCTCAACCATCAATTTCATGAGAATGAGCTTCAGGTCTGCATCTCCGTTCCCGCTTGGCTCTAGACCACTGTTCCTTGCTACTCTTCGCCACAAAGATATGGACTGGTACATAAAGTTCATGACCAAACTCATGCTTCCCACCCCAAAGTAACCTCTCCATTTTCCTGTCTCTTTTCTGTTTATGGTACTTGCCTTCTCCTAGTTTCCTTCTCCTAGTGGCCCTGGTATGGAATTTCAAGTTCAACTTTAATTTCTTTCTTATCCTCAAGCTTTATGTCCAATTAGTTACTAAATTTTATAGCCTCCACTTCACAAATGTCTCTCAAGTCTGTCTCCTCTCCCATTTCTATTATCACTGCCATACATGAGGCCAAGACTGATATTGCAATGGCCTCTCAACTGGTCTCCCTATCTTCCACTTCTCATTAGTACAATCTTAAATACACATTCTGATAGATCCCTCTCTTATCTCCTCAGCAGTTTCCTCCATTGTCTATAAAATTAAAGATAAAATAATATGATTTGAAATACTCAATTATGTGTCCATATCAAGACTTCCAATTTTGTCTCCTATACCTCATTACACAAACTATACTCCAGTTGAATTGTGCTATTTGCTGATTCCAAATATGTTTTTTTTTCCTTCTCCAGTAAAAATCCTATAGTCAAGAGATGCCTTGGGCTGATACCGTAAGAACTAGGCATCAAGGGGCTGTTTGCCTTTATTTTATCAAATATCTCCTGTCCCTCTCTCCTTCAAAAGGATCTCCACTAGAGAAGAGCCATCACTAATGTTTGCTCACAACCACCATTCACTCATAAACCCCATTCTCCCAGATACACAAAGGACACTTCCCCACGTCAGATTTTGTTAAAATTAAAAACATTCTAATCAAATTTTACAAGCAATTTATCACTAAACCAATTTTCATTTTGCCATCGTTCCATTATGATCTGTCTGAATTAATCAGAGGTAAGACATAGAAAGCCTCAATTTACACTGAAATTCTGCAGAAATCAATGTTGCTAAAGAGAAATTCAGAACAGAGTACAGGAAAATTTATAACAGTTGGGGAAATATATTATTGTATTAATAGGCAGACACTCCAAAAAAATGAATTTATACATCTTCTTCTCACTCAAGCTACTAAGGTTTTTAAAAACACACTACTAACATGGTGACAGAGATGTCATCAATGTTGTAGTAAGAGGCTGCAAATGTTACAGAACTGATGAATTTTTATTAGAATCATCAGATAATTTCAGAATGGGTTAAGTTGCCACCATTTGCCATTCCCATTAATATCATTGTCATGTAAAAGGTTTAATTTTCAGCTATTTTTGTTCTAGATAAAATCTTTGTCATTAAAATGAGGGATGATTTTGATATTTAATATATTCCATGGCATATTCAAGCGTGGTACTTATTTGGCCTTTTCAGTATTCCGCATATTAATCGACAATCCATCCCTCTCTCCCTTCCCCAGATAAGTGAGAACTGAAATAGAATGGACAGCCAATCAAGTCACAGAATGCTGAAAGGATCAACATAGAAGAAATGTGTTGCTCTAATCAGAAGTGTATACAAGGCACTAAAATTATTTTCTCCCATACTAATGACTAAGATAGAAACAGGAATAATGAATGGCACCATCTGAATCCTTTTATGTGACAGTTTTACCAAAGTATAGTGATGCTTCCTAAAAAGTAAAAACTAAGTATTTGTTATTTTAGTCAAAAGAATAAAACTGTGTTCTCACTTAACTTTTAGAACAATGAATTTTACCACATTCTGCAGTAATTGGCAAATTGCGTCCTGTATTGAATTTTTTACAATAATCTGTTTCATGCACACAAAATGTGTCCTGAAGTTGAAGAATGTCCAGGATCACTACAGAAAACTTATTTCAATACCTGTTCTATTAGTTTCCTTCTCATGTTGAATTATCACTCTGGTAAGAACTGACATCAGCTGCTTAAATTACACATTAATCTTGTTTTCAGAAGCTATTGTTTTCATTTTAGTGGGCATTTCCTCTAAGGATAAATTTGAGACCTTTATCCAAGAAGATAATATAAATTGTAATAATTTAAAGTTAAATTGAATGTCTTGAATAATTTTATAGCAATACTGATATAATTTAAAATTCCAAAGAGCAAATATTATGGCATCACAGACACTTACAGCAGGTGTGACAGTTATCGAATTAAATCAATTAACCCAATCTGTCCAATAAGACCAAGCCTTTTCTACATTTTCTGCAACAGCACAAACGTAGCACAAATGTTAAATATACTAAATATTATGTATAATAAATTTCCATGCCCTATTATGTACAGAAGAAAGATCCCAGGCATCTGCAAGTCTTTCAAGTGAAAATCTTATTTCAATAACTTTAAAATCCTTGTTCTTGATAATTACAGTTAAGCCCAAATCATTCCCACGATGTTTTCTTGAGTGGATGCTTTCATGAAAAACAATAAATACTTTAACATAATTTCTTCCTTCAGGTTCAAAATTACTGAAAAACAGCTAATAGATACTTTAATCTTTCCATAAAATATTGTTATTACTCTTATAGAAAAGTTCATTCATTCTTACTAAGAATAATAGTATTTAAGTAACAGTAATATGTCTCCTTTCACCCACAAAGACACTTTGTTGGCTAATCAGCAATAAGATTGTGCTTTAAGTTGTTTTTGTTTTTTTCTGTTTTTCAAAGTAGCAGAATGTGTTTACCACCTCATAACTATACATACACGATGGTGAAATGCCTACAGAGATTTGGATAAACACCTTGAAAATAGCCCAGGAGGGAGGTCATGGGCACCTTGTTCTAACAAAGTTATTACATCTCACCCTTCATCCCACTGTAAGCTTCAGAGTTGCAGGTAAGAAGAAATACGCAAAAAGTCAAATATGACAATAAGAATATTGCTTAAGTACAGCCTTGGGGGCTACTTCAGCATTCTTTTAAAATAATTACTAGTCTTAATCCCTCTAGTGTTGGATGTTAAATTCCACTAACTTTTTTTTTTAATTTAATGACTTGCTAATGTAAACTTCCATCTAGAACAATCAAATAGTATGTCATTTATTCAAATTTACAGTGGTTCTAATGTGCCAGCAAACTCCCTCGTCAAAACAGACAACTTTAAAAAATGTTCGCCTGAGTCAGGTGCTCTACTCCCTAAATTAGCACCAAAGTGTCACCTTGATAGACCTATGAACAACAAAATCATTTATAACAAACTTGCTTCCTTCCAGAGTAGACAGCCTAGGTCATGCATCTGCAGAAGTTCTAATTATTCCATACAGATCAGAGAGTGCTCAGAGATGCCCAGCCTTAGCAGCCTGTCACCTCCAAATACAAATGTCCGATAAATATATGCTTACCAATTTCCCTTGAGATCTGGGTGAAGGCCTCCACACCACTCTCTCCGTAGTTCCCCTCAGAAGCCAGCGTTGACACATAATTCCATCCCAGTGCCGTCACAATGTCCACCATGGCTTGCGCTTGGTAGGAGTCAGGCGGGACCACCCGAGAGAAAAAGTCATACCTGGTGTTATCACTTAGCTCTGGGGCTGTGGATGCATAGCTGATTTGAGGTATCTGCAAAACAAATGACAGGTCATTTTAACCCATGAGGAATCTCGTAGAATGATAGATTGTCACAAGAACTATACCAGAAACCAAGACATATCAGTCTGAAGCCAAAATACAGTTTTATGACCACGAATTTAATTAGAAAGCATTTTATAATGTTTGTGGGCTCACTTTCTTTCAATGCATAGTATTTCTGAACAGCAAGAAAGAATTTAGTTTTGCTTCAGGTTCCATAGTTTCTGAAGCCAAAGCAAAACATTTGTGCTTATTGCTCTTGCTTTTTTTTAATTCTGTACATGATAAGTTCTGCTGCAGAAATGAGAGAGAAATGAAGGTATACACATCAGAAAGGTCACCTCTCAGATTGCCTTTCACTTTAAGACATAACTATGACTAACAGGGAATTTAATATGAGATTTTTTTGACACCTGATAACCATTTCAGCCTTAAGATTGTATTTTTGGTAGATTATTTTAAATATATAGTTTTGCAAGTCTATCCACTGCTGATTGATAGAATCACTGAGTATCCCAAAAAGATTTGGGAATAGCCAACCACATATCCTCTAATAAAAATATCTTTCCAACTCCCCCCCCCCAAAAAAAGACATAAAAAGGAATCCAGGTAACACATTCTTTAGAAAAAGAGACCATTTCTGATATAAACAGAATGAATTGCTAAAATATTTTCAAAACCAGGAATCCTATGTCATTTCTCAATAATGTGGGAGGCTGAGCTATGCAGCCTGTGCATCTCATCACTCTTGTGCTGCCATGCTGTGTATAAGTGAAAGTTCAGGGATCAAAATGACTCCAGGATGCCCTAATTCAGACGGCTTGGTTGAAGATGCAGGTTTAACCTGTACAGAAAACAATTAACTTTGCTTCACATCAGATCCTGCATCTAACGTCAGTGCTCAAAGACGATGTCAAAGAGGTTGCAATTCCAAGAACCCACACAGGGCTACACATCTTGGGATCCAACCGTCACCCACTACTGTCTGGCCAGATGAGACCCAATCTACATGGATGTTTTAACTTTACTCTTGAAATCTTTGAAAAGCCTTCACCATCTGGATAGCTTTTCTGAGTCTAGCAAGTCCTGCTCCCTATTGGTAGCCAGTGAAATGCAGTAAGCTTCCCAATATATAAAAGTCACCCAGGTCTCCTCCTGCAATCATATTAGAAAAAGAAAAAGAAAAGAAAAAAAAGTCACCCAGGGAGAAGAAGCAGAACAATGGGCCTAGAGCTCTCCAGGGTGCTGCAAGATCCATTCAGCTTCTGCGTAACCAGTATTTACCTATTTTGGCTATAATAATGACTACTCACTCTAGCATATTTAACCCCAATTTTTTTCCAGTTCAGTTCTTCTAGTGGAGAACTAGGAGAACATGCTAACCTACATATCAACATTGTGGGACCATGAAACTATCTGACCTGCCTCTTCCTGCCCTTTGCTTTCTCTCCCAGATAAACCAGCCTTATCTTAACAGACTGGTCCCTTAATTAGACTTTTTGCCTTCATAGTACATGACTACTCAGCAAGGGCATCCCCCTCCAAATATAAAACCACACACTTTGGCCATTTTCACCTTTTCTTGTTTGTTTTCAGAGGACCTGGGAAAGAGACCATGGATGACTCAGTGAGAACTATCTCTAACTAGGTAAAAATTTTCCAAAGAGCAAAAGCTTGTGCATTTCTATGTTTTGATGAAAGAGATTCAGCAGACTGACCTTTACTTTGGAAGGAACTATGTGTGTGGTGGGGGAAATAGAGGAGCATTCTATAGCAAATTCTGTAGCACTATACCATTTCTTTGTCTTATTTAGATACATAACCCTCCCACTTCCTCAGCTACTCAGAGTCCAGCAGTAAAATGCCTTACACAATTCCCACCCTGCCTATAATAATGAGCCACCCCTTTCTAAAAATGAGCACAAAGTGTGAAAATTGAGTGTTTGAAACCAAAACTAATTATCTCAAATTACTACCTTCAGTCAGTCACTTCCCGGGCTGTTTAATTAGCAGTCAGTCTCATGTTTAGGATTAATTAAACAGGTGTAAAGGGTATAGAAAATAAAAGTGCAGATAGAAGATGGCTGTTTGATTAATTCAGTAACGGACTTTCTCCCCAAAGTCTTGAAGAGTTTTCTTTTTGCAGATCAATGTGTGGAAAAGTAATGTGAGAGTCGTGCTTATTTTTCCATTTGTTCATTTCTGCAGTCTACAATAATACATATCAAGGTATACCGATAATATTTCCAGACAACTTTTCAAGTTCTCATGACGCCACATCTCATTTTTATTTTATTGTGGCGGACCACTAAGTATTGGCTCATTAAGTATTTTAATTTCCGTGCCAGCATTCCCAATATTTCCACCATCCTCAAATTAAACCCCTACTGGCAACTGAAGTGGAAATTTTTTAAAGACTTAGAATGTTTCTCTTTCTTTTCCCTATATCAAATCCATCCAAACCACCCCCTTAACCCTGGAGGTTTCATCTGCCAGAAACAGCACCACTGGGGAAAAAAAAAAAAAGGTGATGGGTGGAGGAGAGAAGTGGAGAGGGAAATGAGAGGAAACGAAAGGAAAATGTAACAAAAGGGAGTTAAGAAGGGAGTTAGGAAACCCATCCTTCATCAGTTCACCCATCCTTTTAAAGATCTTTTATAGGTCTCTATTAACTCTCACTTGCCAATTTAAAGGATAAAATCCAAACTCTTCAGCCTGCCTCACAAAGATCATCAGACTTGGCCCCATCTGCTTCTCAGCCTTGAATCTTTTCTCCAGATTCTGAAAGTACCTGCACCCTTATCCATGCTTTTCCCTGAATAAGGAGATTCTTTCTGCCCTCCTCCACCTGGTGATCTTCTGCACAAACTCAATATCCAGCTCAAAAGTCATCTCCTCCCTGGGAAGTTCTCACTCTCAGGCAGAGTCGTCTTTTGCTATTTCTCCCTCCCACGGTCCCCATTACCAGACATTAGCATCATGACGGTGTACCAGCTTATGATCCTCTCAAGATCAAAAACGTCTCTGTTTATTTATTCTATATCCCCAGCAACTGACAAAGAAAGTGCTCAATGAATGTTTGGAGCAATTAATGAATTGAACTATAGCAAGAAATTTAATACAGCCTCCTCCCACCACCTCCTTCCCTGCATTCTGCCAAAATATCGTGCAAGTTTTTCTCCATTTGCCCCTCGCAGTCCTTCTCCACCCTGCCCTACATCCTGGGGGCTGCTCTCTATGGCTGTATCACCAGAGCTTTCTTGCCTCTGGCTTCCAGTTGGGTTTGACCAATGGGAGGCACCAGGAGGACACAGGAGGGCAGTAGGAGAAAGAAGACAGAGTATTTATTCCCCAGCTTCTTGCCCCACTGACTTAGTGCTTCTCTACCTAAGCCCTCCCCAACAGCTGAAGCTCTTGCCAGAGTCTGGTGATCGCTCTTTCCCCCTGCCCTGCAAGTGTCGCCACTGTTGCTGGTTCCTGAGTGCTTCTTCACCCCTTGGTTTCTTAAACTGTGCCCACACCTTGTAAATAGTCCTTTTGTTAACCTCTCTCCATTCCCTGGAGTGTGCCAGAAACCTGACTAATACGCCCCTATGACAGGTGCAGAGAGGACAATGCTACTGTGCTCCCTACCTCAGCCCTGCCCTAACCTCTGAGCCCTTCTTCATCCACTCTCCTTTCCAGACTTTTCTACCACTGTCCTCATATGACTTTTTCCTTTCCTTTCTTGTCCAGTTCTTTAAGGCATCCAATTGCATACTTGAAAACACCTGTCATTTTGCTTTTCTTCATTTCTTATTTTCTTTGGGCTGAGGTTTCATAAGAATATCATCTGTGCTTAAAATAAGGCCATTTTTCTATTACTTGAATAAAGCATATTTGAGGCAATTAATTACACAACTCAGGACACTCATCACCATACCCTCCCTAAAAAAAAAATTGCTTTAGCTTGCACCTTTCTGATAATTATTTTGGTGAGGAAAAAGGCCTTCTCCTTCTCCTATTACATTCTTACTTCCGCCCACAGAAAAGCAGATTCCTCCTCCCAACCCCACTCCTCTTGGGGAGCTCTAGAACAAGTATTTCCTAGGTAGCTCTCCACCCCTTACTGATTCTCCCAAACACAGAGGGGAAACTGAACCAGGGCCAGAATTCTACATTTATAGGGCAAGAGTGGATAGCAGGCTCTCCCTTTGTTCTCTGATCTGCCCACACACATCCCTGGCTTCTTTTCTCTATAAGTTTGAGACCAGACAGGGCCTTCCTTTTGGGGGAGGAAGCCCATCCTCTTTAACTCCCTATTCCACTGGCAACCGGGTGTGTCAGAGAGGCCTGAAGCCCATGCCACTGGTTAAATAAGCAGACTTCAAGTCCTCTGTTCAAGCAGAAGTAGGTCCCAAGGTTGAGATGTGGTGTGGGAGTAGGAGGCACTATTTTGGCCTCAGATCCAAGCTGAATTCTATCCAATCTAGTTCTTAAGGGACAACCATGTTTCTGGGGAGTTATTTGGCGTTTGCCCAGCTGTGAATAAAGCTAATTACTTAATCTACATTTAACTAGTTATTCTGTGAATGTTGGACTTACAAACTCAAAGAGATTCCAAAATTTGACTTAGAGCTAAAGGAGACCAAAGCTCTCTTTCAAAAGAAATTCATTACATATATTCAATACATATATTCAATAGAAGTTAACAGGCATTATTGTCTCTTTGTGTCCATTCTTCCCTTCTTCTAGATGAACCTCTGATTTTTTACCTAGGCACTTGGCCACTCTGAACACGACTACATTTCCCAGCCTCCCTTGTAGTAGTGAGTAAAACTTCCGAAAAGTGTCCTTAAAGGGGAAAGGGTATGCCTTTCTCATGCCCGTCCCTCTTTCCTGCTGACCAGAATTTGGACATAACATCTAGAGCTCTGTTAGCCATCTCAAGACATGCCCTGGCAATGGTGGAACAAAAAGCCACATCCTAGTCCAAGGCATTGTGATATGTG